GCGGCGGGAGACGCGGGCCTGGCCCCGGGGCCCGGCCCGGCCCCGCCCCGCCCCGCCCCGCGGGCGGTCAGTGCGGCGCAGTCGCGGCGCCGCCATCGCGGGCAGATGCAGGCGATCAAGTGTGTGGTGGTGGGCGACGGGTGAGTGCGGGAGGGGCCGCTCCGGCCCCGCAGCCCCGCACCGAACGGGCCCGGCGGCGCCGAGGGAAGGAGGGAGGGCTGGCCCGGGCCTGCGTCCCGGGAGAGCTGCTCCGCCGGCGGGAGGCCCCGCGCCGGGCGGCGAGGCTCGGTCCGGCCTGGAGCCACGGGAGCCTGGCTCGGGTGGAGCGGGGCCGGGGGCGGCGGCAGCGGGAGCGGGGGGAGATCGGGGCCTCGCCGCGGCCTTGCAGGACCCTGCCCCGCTCCTTTCATAGTTCGTGAACTTGGGTGCTGCCTGGGTAGCAAACGCAGGCTTCTCTTGGGTTTTACGTTTGCCTCCTTGTTGTTTTATTTAGGTGCCGGCATTTTGCCGTTTTTCATTGTACCTGCTTTATTCCTGATAGAGTTCTTCCAAAAATCTCGATGTTCGCAGGTCTCATATGTCGTTTTGTTGATTGTTCCGAGGTGAAATGGGTTGCTCTTTATGATTTCACCATGTGCTCCTTGTCACCCTTTTTGTTTTCTTCTTTAGGCTCTTCCTAAATGCCTTTTTTTGGGAAGACATTTGCCTGCAAGATGCACGCATGCACTAGATTTATGCTTCTTTGTAACTTTCCTAGCTCATCCTACATATTTTTCCTCACAATTCAGTTTACTTTTCTGATCACCTCGGCAAGAACAGAGCTGAGGTACTCAGACCTAAATGTGAACTGGTCTTAGGCAGGGACTAGACTTCTCCTTTCTCGTGCATGCCACCCCCTCAAATACACATTTGCGGTGAGGCCTTCCTCAAGAAGGGAGTAGGAGAAAGCACAGCCTTATTGCAGAGGGGAGAGGAATGACTGGGAGCTGAGGATGTTGAAAATGGAATTCAGCTGAAGGTTTGCTGTCTTGTGTTTTGCCTTAAGACCAAACCAACAGTGCAGACTAAAAGAAATTGGAAACATATAGATACACAGTTTTTTGTAAATTGCAAGCTTCCCTGTTTGGTAGGAAAGTGAAGTCACAGTTCAGGAGTATCAGGAAAATTAATCCACAAACACCAGAGGTTTATGTCCAAAAAGGAGACAGAGGAGTCCTTTTACTTTATTTGAATAAAGGGAGAGGTCATGGGGCATTCCCCTGGGGTCTCAAATTTTTGGAGGGCACAGCCTCCTTTTTACCCTAATTTCCTGGCTGCTTGTCCCTTTTCTCTTTCCCCATTGGGTGAGGTACTTGAGAGGTACAGACTTCCCGGAACGCCGGATACCCGAAACCACCCCCCCAGCGCATAATCCCTACTTAATTCTTAATTTGTAGAATTCGTGGTGCTTCCTCAGTGCCTCTTTCATCTTTCAATGGAATTCATCTCATTGTTTCTGTTATCTCTCAGTGATAGTTTCATCTTATCAGCAGACCCACAGCTTGTTTGTAAAGACAAACCTGTCATTCCTCTCAGGAGCAAAGTTGGACCAGTGTAGTGGTTCGTGACAAAACCTCACTTCTCAGAACAAAGGGACCTAATCCAGAGGAAAAGTTGTAATACTGGTGAATTGTCTCTGTGCTTTCTGTCATCCTGGTGTGTGCAGGGGACTGTCAACTCTTCCTCTCTTCTGACATCTCTCTTATGTCAGTCTGGTTGCAGAATTGGGTGGGGGATACCACTGCATACCCATTTCTGCTAGCTATTCACCTTCACCCAGGCACCTCACAGCCAGCTTTCCCTGGCACTGGCAATCTTTCTCTGGAAGGCTGGCTGCAGTTCACAACTTTCTCCATTATAAGGAGGTGGCTCACACTGATGGTACTCCTCTGTTCTTACAGTGAAGCTCCATTAGGAAATGTACAGGACTGGTTAAGTCCATGTGCCTGTGCTCTTGCCAGCCAGGTCTGGCCTGGCCCCTGCCAGCTGTGCCACTGCTGGGCTGACCAATCCCACCAACCTCGAGCAAAGCCCTGAGCTGGAACTAGGGAATTCCAGCCTGCAACAGGTTTGTTTTCTCACATGGTAACTTTTTACCTAACCATGTGTTTTCGGTGGGGGAAGGGTGAGTTTTACTGCCTTAGTGCTCCATCCCGTACCCTTCTTTATGCTTGTTGCTCTTACCCTCTGCAGAGCTGTTGGGAAAACCTGCTTGCTTATCAGTTACACCACAAATGCCTTTCCTGGAGAATACATTCCCACTGTGTAAGTAATGGTCGTGGGCTTCAGTTGCTTTTTGATCTGTATGCATGTGTGTGTAAAAGTTGGGTTTGTATGAGAGGAGGTGGCTGTGGCAAATCAGACTGCGAACTTGGCAGGTAAGGATGATGCTGTGGCTGTGTGTGTGAGGAAGGCAGATTGTCCCCACTGTAACTGTGCTGCAGTATCTGTTCCTGATTCACTGCCCCTTTGAATTCCATATAGAGATGTGAAGGTCACTACAAAATTGTCACTGATGGGAACTCCTCATTGGCAGGTTTGATAATTATTCTGCCAATGTGATGGTAGATGGAAAGCCAGTGAACCTGGGCCTCTGGGATACAGCAGGGCAAGAAGACTATGACCGACTGCGTCCTCTTTCCTATCCACAGACGGTGAGTGCTGGGCTTGGACTGGCTTGTGACTGCTCCCTCTCAGAGAATGGGAGGCTCCCAAGGACAGGCATGCTTCTTTCCCTTGAGGAAAGTCTGAGTTCCTGGAGCTACACCCATAATTCTGGTTGCTTAAGTATCACAACTGATTTTCTCCTAAGAGATTGTCCTGTTCTAGTCTCTTCTTTGTAATGGTCTTTGAAGAGTTATGGGTGGGTGCCTCAGGGAGGTTTAAGTAAAAGGAATGCTGTAGGGCTGCTGTGCAGCATAGTCAGTTCCATATTCTCATTGTCTCTCAGCAGGACAGATCCCCATTGGGGCTGCCCTAGGAGTGTTTCTGGGTGTAGCAGTTCCTAAGCAGCTGTGCTGGTGGTGAAGCCCTTAGCGCTGTTCAGATGTTTGAGGCCTCAGGCGCTTAACATGCAGAGCCCAGCATTGCGAAAGATGATGTAATCATGCACTCAAGGTCCATTCCTTCCCTCTCTGAATTAGTTTAACACCCTTAATGGGGAAGAATTTCTTCAAGCCACAGCAGTCCTTGCTTGTGGGAGATTGTCCTTTCTCAGGCTCCCTCTGCAGCCTCCCTTCACTCTAGCTGTATCTTTCTGCACAGCTGACCCTCTTGTTTCTGCACAGGATGTTTTCTTGATCTGCTTCTCCCTTGTGAGTCCAGCCTCCTTTGAGAATGTCAGAGCTAAGGTAAAGTATTCTCCTCCTGGGTGAAACAGTAGAGGGGAAAGAAACAGTGATGCTCCCTGCCCCACCCAGCACCACACCTACAAGCCCAAAACTTCAAGGAGTAATGTTTTGGTGAGGGAAAGTCACAGTCTGCAGATTTTAAGTGGGGCCTGCTTTTTATTTATGACTTCTTTGGCTAAGTTACTGCCTTTCTGAATCTGTGTTTTAAGATAAGGGATCTCTTAGAAGCTAAAATACAGTTAAGGGAAACATTGGGTGCAGAGTTGGCTAGCAGTGTCTGTCAGGATTCTGTGTCTTGGTGCCTTTATTATTACATCTACACCAGTCTCTTTTTGCAGAGAACATTAGAACTGTAGGAAGCAGTATCCTGTTCGGGTGTTGCCATCATGAACCTCTTCATTCTCAATAGTAGCAATTCATCCTCATGGTTATGGCCATTCATATAACTACTTTTCTTATCATGCCTCTCTGTTTCAGTGGTACCCTGAAGTCCGACACCATTGCCCAAATACACCTATTATCCTGGTGGGCACCAAGCTGGACTTGAGGGATGATAAGGACACCATTGAAAGGTTACGTGATAAGAAACTGGCCCCCATCACCTATCCCCAAGGCTTGGCCATGGCTCGGGAGATTGGTGAGTCTCATGAGTAGGCAGATACCAGTGGCACTGAACTTTGTGAGTGGGTGAGGGACAGTGCATGGTGGTGGTACTGGAGTGGTTGAGCTGGAGCTCTCTTTCCCCAGGGTCGGTAAAGTACCTCGAATGCTCTGCCCTGACACAGCGGGGCTTGAAGACGGTGTTTGATGAAGCCATCCGGGCTGTGCTCTGCCCACCACCTGTGAAGAAGCCTGGCAAAAAGTGTACCATGTTTTGAGGGCTGTGGCCTAGGTGTTGGCTCAGCATGCTGTCATCCCTCTGACAGATTGCATATTAAGCTGGGTGTTTCTGAAGGGGGCTGGGATGTGTAGGGCCCTTCATCATGTACGAAGTCAGTGTTTTTTAAATGTCTCTTTGATTTAACGTCAGTGTTGATGTGAAGGGGCAGTGGGGACAGGAGACCAGCTGGGGACTATACAGCCCCCAGGGGATGTACAGTGGGGAAGGCAAGGTAGCTCCTTCGGGCAACAAGCTGTTTTGGCTCTCCTGAACTCGGAGTGGAAAGGGCTGAGACATCCATCCTGTTCTGGAAACGCCTATTTTCAACCTGCAGGTGAACATCCTGGTGGGAGTGGGGAGGGAGCTGATTTCAGTGGTGCTGAAAGACAAGAATACCTGGGAGGGTGGTAGGGCCTCCTTGCCCAGCCTGCTGTGGCTAACAGTTAACAAACTGGTGCTCTAGCAAAATGTTCCTGAGACTGTTAAAAAAATCATAACCAGCCCTGGAAGGGGTCAAAGTAAATGAGAAGCTGAAAAAATCAATCATTAGGTGCTTTATTGGGTACTAGCCAAACTCTGTGAGTGAAACAGCTCTGTGCAATCAATGCATTTGCCTTTTTGTGTGTGCACACCCTAGGACAGCATGGTGCTGCTCCCCCCCATTAGTCTTTAGCAGGGCCTCCCCCCAGAATCCAGTCTCTGCAGAGCAGGGCTGGGGTTGTTGCCTCTATTTTTTTTTTTTTTTTCCTACTAAAGACAACAAAAGAAGCAATGAGGAGTCTGCTAACTTCTTTCCCTTCCCACTGGAAATGCAGACAGACTGTGGATTTGGATGGAACAGGGAGAGCTTCTGAAGGGTTGTGGGGGGGGGAACAGGATTGGAAGAAAGGTCCAGTTTCTAATCATCATGTAGAGTGACAAGATAAAACCTTATTTGGTGCAATAAACATTCTCCATGAAGGTGTATGTGAGCTTTATTATATAGCAGCCTTGCAAAGCTGATTTTTCTGCCTCACTTCTAATACAGTCTTCAGCCCTGCTGCCCCTCCAGCAGGAAGTCTGTCATTGTTTTCTATCCAATTTACATCTAGGCGGTATTCATATGAAAATTGAGGACAGGTGTGAAATGCAGGTGTCATCTTAGGAGACAAGGAAGCCCCCGTCAATCATCAGTGAGCTGCCAGTTGTCATAGCACTCTTGTCACTCAGCAGGAAGAGAATGCTGTTCACCACATCATCCACCTCTGCAATCAAACACAGAGAACATCTGATGCCCACCTCAACTTGTACCAGAAAAACAAGCACCTAAAAAGGTCTGCCTTTGACCTGTACAGGTAATGAGAGCTGGAAAGAGTTTCTGTCTTCAAACTGTGCTTGATGAAGTGTCTGGGACAGTGTGGCTGAGAGCTGGACATCAAAGTGTCCTTGTGATCAAATGGTGCTTAGGTCACAGCAAACACCCAGTCAGGTTTATGAACAACAGAGTTCATTTCACTTGTCCCAAGATGAGAAGGCTGTAGAAAAAGAGGAGGGTTGTCTCACCCTGTCCTGATCAAATACTGCAGCAGTTCAGCCAAAAGGCATTCAACAGAGCTGTCGCTTTGCCCAAAAGTCAGCAACTTCTGGCTATGATGTCAGTGAGAAGGAAGGCTTGGAGGAAACACTGGAGACATACCTACATCACTGACCTGCAAACTTTCCCAGGGGAATCCGATTAATCATGGCAGCAGATTTCTGAGGGTCACTCCAGTTAATTCTCCCCATGTCAGTCATAACCACAGTGGGGTTCACAGTGTTCACCCTAATCTGGGACCAGGAGCAAAAAACAATCTAAACCCAGCTGCTGTGGTTGTGCTCAGGTTCAGCTTTCACACTTTTCTCTCACAGACTCCTACCTTGTGGGGTCCCAGTTCCATTGCCATTACTTTGCTCAGCATATCCAAAGCACTTTTTGTGGAACCTTTAAGAGAAGGGGAGAAGAGGAAGTACTTAGCTGCATAGCACCTGTTGTGGAACACATGGGTATTTTGCTGCCCAAAACTGGCAGCCAGCAGCTTGGTGACTATGGGTCTCCAGCTGGTCAAAACCGAGAAGGGCACTGCTGAAGCTGCACACACTTACAATAAACAGCGTGATCCCTCAGCGCACGCTTCGATGCCTGGCTGGAGACATTCACAATAGCCCCTGGCACCCCTTGTGCAATCATCTGCCGAGCAACTATCTGGGAGGGGGGAGGAGAGAAAAAAAAAAAAAAGAGGAAGGCCAGAATCCTAACAAGAGAAATCATTATTTCACTCCATAGGAATCTTGCTGGGCTGTTATGGTAGACCAAAGAACAAAAACATCTGGAGGAAGGAAGTCCTTATTGCCTCCTGCTTACAAGAGTCAAAGCAAGAGTGTGAAGGGGTTGTACATGTAGTTTATCTGATTGACTTTGGACTGCAGTCCTTTCTGCCCCCACAGTGGACACATACCCCTGCTAGGTACCACAATTTAGTCACTACTATTCATGGAGGCAGCTGCAGTGACAATTCTTCCTCACCTGGGAAACATGAAGCACAGCTCCAAAATTCACATCAAGAGACCTACAAATAAATCAAATTTAAGTTACGGAGTGGTTGTAGCCCAGCCCAGGGAGCTGTTTTGGGAGCCAGCAGAGGACGAGTGGTGCTGGTCTCTTGGAAACACTGGTGATATTCTAGGGCATGGACAGAAATGCCAAGTTGTCAGGTGAGCCAGGATGGTCAGGTGGGATCTCAGCAATGAACCAGAACCGTCCATTGGCAGTGTGTGGGGAGGTGAAGGCATGCACCACTTACATTTTTCACAGGACTCTGCTCTTACGCAGCCTAATGGAATTCCTCTGTCAAAGATTAAATAGAGCTCTGGGTCTCAGCCAGGGTAGATGAGTCTTAGGTCAAGCAAACACTTTACACAGATCTATAATGCAAAGCTGCTGTAAGGTGGGGAGAGGCAGCACTTCTTCTATTTGCCAAAACATGCTTCCTTCGTCTGGCTTCCACCTGCCAGTTCTGCAGAATGATCTCAGTAGAATCCATACAGTTTATGTTCTAGTCACAAACCTTTATTGCAGATTCTCAACACCCATTTTTAACATAGGGACACAGCATGACCCATATTCTCAGAAGGACGTGGACTCAAGATAGCCTGTATCCTAAAGCGTACTCACAACAAAGCTATGGAGCTTTTCAGAGAAAGAAGATGTCATGTTATTGTAGTTAGCAAATTTAATTTCCCACCATGACCATTTTTTACTTCCTTACCTGGCTTTGTAGTCTCTATTTCTGAAATGTCTTAGTGACAACTGCCTTTCAGTTTAACCAAGCTGGAACTAGACTGGGAGCTCTGAGGTTGATGAGCAGCAAAGCTCATCCTCCCATGCCAGTGGGATGGCAGGGGCACCCCACCATTCTGGAAGTGAAACTGCAGAATGTTCTGCAGGTTCTGACTACTTAGAAAGTGATGTAAGAGCCAGTGCTTTGGTTCATTTTGCTGTTTAAGGCATGAAAGGTGATGATGTAAAGAATGAAAAGACAGTGAAGAAAAAGGACATAGCAGTAACAATCGACCAATACTGGCATTGCTAAAAGTGTGCATGTCAGCCTATCTGGTGTTTGTATACCAGTTTCTGTCTGTGTTCTTTGCAGCTGCTTCTCCTCTAATAACACCCTTTTCTGGAAAGCTCTGCCGCCGTTTTTGACGTTCACAGCTTTGAGATTATTTGGCGGGCATCCTCGGCCCCAGAGCTCCCAGTGGAGCTGCGGCGCCGTGCGGGAGCGGCGGGGGCCGGGGCCGGGGCCGGGGCCGGGTACTCACCGCTGCAGGGCCGAGCGCGTCACCTCCAGGAAGGGCTGCAGCTCCGCCACGGCCGCGTTGTTAACCAGCAGCTCGAACGGCCCCGCAGCTCCCACCGCTGCCTCCACAGCCTCCCAGTCCGCCAGCTCCACGCAGAGGGTCTCGATGCCCGGGCACTGCGGCGAGGGCAGCAGTGGGAGGGAGCCGCAGGGAGCCCGGGGCCCCGCTGCGGGGTTACTGGGGCGGGGTAGGGCGGCAGGAGGAGGGGGTCCCGCACCTCCCGTGTCAGGCACTCCAGGTCCGCCGCCGTTCGGCTCAGCGCGGTCACGCGGGCCCCGGCCCTGCTCAGCGCCACGGCCACGGCGCGACCGATCCCTGCGGGGCCATGGCGTCAGACTCGCCCCGGCCCGACCCCCGGCCCGGCCCCCGCCCGCCGTCACCTTTGCCGGCCCCAGTCACCAGGGCCCGCCGTCCGCGGAAGTCGAGATGCTGCTCCATGTTTCGGCTGGACTGTGGCCGGGGCGGGGTCCGGGAGCGGGGCGGCCCGAGAGGCCGAGCGAGCAGCGCCGCTTGACCCCGCGGCCGGCCCCAGGCTTATCCAGAAAGACAGGCACACAGAGGTGGAGCTTCGTGGCTCTCACCCTTGACTGAAGTATCATTTGAACCAGCACAGAAAAACCAGGCGTTTTAGAGTCTGATGAAAAAGACCCGCCAGCTCTGCCCCTTCGAAGTAGCTGCTGATGACAATTAAAATCCTCATTATCTCAGTTCTTTGACTGTACTGTTAAGAAGCAGCTGCAAGGATTCTTCTTATCCATCTCTGTTCTCCGCGTCCCAGTCAAGTATACTTGCCTTTTGTCCCTTGGCACCACGTTAGCCTGAGGAGGGCATAGTTTTCTGAATTAGTGAGGTTATGTTCCATTTTTGATAGAGAGCACATGTGAAGAAATATGACAAAACACAGCCTTTGACATATTTAAATATTTATTTTATAGAATCGCTTTATGTACGAAAAAGTAGTTTGATAAAAAAAGCTACATCCTGATAGCCACACAGCTTACTGTATTCTCAACACAAGAAACATTGCAACGAGCCTGAACATACTGAACACCTTCATGTGGCCCTGCAGAAGAACATGGTCCTTTTTTAAAGTTCCATAATCACACTCCCAGCTTTGAGGGCACTGCCTCTTTGGCACACCTAGTGTGATCAGTGACCACAGTGTGAAACTTCTACCATTTAGTTTTGCTGCCATCAATATAAAGTGTTGTAATTTTTTAACTGCAGTTTGCCACAATTGCTGCCCAGTCTTTGCTTATTCTGTGTTATCTTACAAGAGGCTTTTTCCAGTGGGAGGGGAAGAAAAGTTTCAACAGAAGAGTTCAGAAGCAGTGCTTGAAGACAAAATCAACTCAAGAGGTCATGAAATTTCACAGTTTTCTTCTATAGGATGTTAAAACCAAGAACCCAACAAGTGTTTTTAAAAAAAATATATGGATACCAGAACTATTAATGACAATTAAACCACAGGATGCCTCAATTCTAGTTAGCAGAACTAATAAAGAGGTAGAACCTACTATTCCACAAATCCTCCTGTTTTCTGTGACAGCCCATTATGGAACAGCCGGTGTGCTAACTGGGCTTTGATCCAGTTCCCTGCAGCTTTCTTATTTCCATACCTCATATGTACCTTAGTACACATGATAGAAAGGAGAAATACAAGAATGAGCTGCAGGACTGTAGTAAGTAGCAGTCAGCTTATTTGCTCCTCAATGAAACTACCTGAAATCATGCAAAGAGGACATTGTATTGAGGTAAACCCTGAAAGGTTTATTAAAATGCAGGCAACAGGGTGTGTTTCGGGAGGCTGACACCCGTGCTAAGTGGCATACTTGAATACACTACAGATATTCTCCATGAAGTTAAGTAACTAGCACAGCTGTTTAGAAACCTGAAACTTCTGCCAGGTCCACAATCAAGCCAGTAATCATAGCTCCAGATCATACAATGACATGCTATTAGTCTTCCCTTAATTTGGCCTCAAACTAGCACTAAACAAGCAAGTATTTTTTATAAGAGTAAACAGTGATTTTGAAAAGGTAGTTTTTAATGGTATTCTTCAGGTCAGGTACAATTTGCACATGGCCAAAGTCTGGGCTAACAAAAAAGTAAACATATGGAGCCACATTCCTTCCACTTTCAAAACAAAGTTTACTTTCTTTAAAAAGCAGCAGATGATACTGCTAGAGCACTGAACTGCTTGTGAGTGTGCAATCTCCTTTTAGTGACTACATGAACTATTTGTTGAAATATTAAGGAGTAAAAACAAGCACTGATCTTGACTTTATGGTAATTAAAAGATTATCTGAAGAAGCTGGAGTAACCATGGTCATACAATTAAAGGTCCTCAAATGATACCATCAAAGCCCTCCTCAGTGCATTGCTGCTATCTAGCATTCCTCCCCCCTCACACTGCTTCAGAAACAGGGCGTGTTTTGCCAGCACAAGCCTCTCCAGCTCATGTGACCAACAACCAGCCAAGTGGGAGGAACAATTACCATCTTGTCAGGCAGATATTTCTTCAATATCAAATATCAAGGGAATAGATCATAATCATCAACCATTGCAATTCAGTTGGCATGCGAGCCAGGTCTGACAATTACCTCCACAGGAGGAACACATGGATGACAGGGGTGAGTGCATGTTATAAGCAATTTATCCAGTCCTGAGTAAGCTTACCCTCAACACAGGGTTTTCTCATGACAAAGGCTTTCAGCCTTGTTTACCCTAGTGATTCCAGGATTTCCGTATTCTGGCCCACTGGAGTTTTAATGTGGCAGGCCACAGAAGCTCTTAAATAATTCTGTTCCCAAGAAAGATGAATGAAAACTTCCTCTCTCTTGTCACCATGGGGACTACAGTCTGCTCTAGCACTCCAGCTTCAAGACAGTGGCTTCTAAAGACCCTTAAGTGTAGTAAGAACACTCTCACTCCCAGTACTGCATTTACCTCAGATGTGCCCAAGCACAGGTTCACATGACATCAGAAAGTGTGAAGTGACTCATACACACAGGACTGCCGTCATCTTATGAAGAGCCACTAGACAAAAGAACAAAGATTCTTCTTGGAATGTCCCAGGCTGCAGCTGAACAAATCTTATTGCTTTTCTAAACAGAGTCTGTCTACCTCCTTTGTAGATACCACTGGTTGTCTCCCAGAATAAGAACAAAACCACCAAAAAACTCCACAACTCCTGCGTTATGCAAACGAGCTAAGACACAGGTGTCAGTGGCTGGTCAAGAATTATGACATCTTCTTAGCAGGGCACCAAATAGTGTCAGGATAAAGCAGACAATGGACAGATTTAAATCTATATAAAAAAAAAAAAGAAAAAGAAGACAGTATTAGATTGAAATTCTCCATACATGGAACATGCTAGCATTGAATATGCAGCAGTCTGATGGAGCAGAGGGTGGGTCTGCCTGCTTTTGGCACAGTAACATGAGCTGACATGAGAAAATAAGCCCATTACTGGGTCTGATCATCTTACAGATGACAAACATGAACAAGGTAGGGAGATCTTGTTTTGGAAGTGGACACTAACCGGGTTGGATCTTGCTGAAGACCAAACACTCCTCCCACACTCACGACATTGTGTTTGTTCTCAGGGTCACCATAACTCAGGGTTACCTGTAAAAACAAGTAAGTATTCAGAACTTGTAACACTAATGCAGAAAACCAGGGTGGAGACTACAGGGTTATTAATGAGGTACCAAGAAAGTCTCCAAAGATGCTGTCTAATCTGAACACAGATCACATTTGGAGGACAGCAGCTAGTTCTGACATAAGCAACATTGGCGCTGAATGGCACTAAGGGCAGTGTGGGAGAATACACAGAAGATCTGAAGTTGCATTGCCCTGAAGGACAAAGTGAGTTTTAATTCCAAGCTTTGTAAGGACATTAATCCTGCTACTGTCTGTACCTTCACTAAATAAACACGTTCATCCTCACCAGACATTGCCTGAAGTCTGCAATAGCAATATTTTAGCACAGGGGGAAAATATAAATATTTGCATGTTAAATGGCATGGAAGGATTGTCATGTTTCAAATCTGGAACAAAATTTAAATCTTTGGAACCCCAGGTGAGGGCTGTTCCTCCACACAAGCACGGCATTAAGAATTTTTCAGGTGTCAGGTACAAGACTTATGTTTTCTTTATAACTGTACATTTCCTGGGTTTTGCATTAGCTGTGTTCATCTCATTGAATTAGTGATCACCTGTGAAACAATGTATTCACGCTACAGTCAAATTCACTAACATGAAGGAGATGACATCACAGTGGAACTTGGTCCCAAGAACACATTTCTGCTGCCTAATACAACTGCCAGAAAAATATAACCACGCAGCACACAGGGGCAAAACCACACTCCTGTTTACTTATGGTGCCAAGCAGTGTGAGGCAGGCAAGGCTGCTGGATGGCCTTGTGGCGCCATCTGCTGCCCGGAAGGTAAAATGTAGCCCGGCAATTAAAAAACAACTGGATTTTTCAGAAGCAACTTTAGGTTTCTTGAGATTCAGACAAATTAATCTTAAAAATTATCAAACATTTAATTATGTCTTAGCTACTGAAGAAGTACTTACTATACCTGCCTTTTTGAACAGTATGAATTAAGATCGAAACTTTGTTAGGCAAACCCAGGAAGACTATTCAGCAAACTTCTACACTTCCTGCTACTGTTGTAAGATGTAAAAAGTCAGGGTTTAGAAGGATATGAGGAACACCCTATTTAGGTGTAGCAGAATGTGTCCCCAAAGGAGGGGACAGCTATATGACCTAGTTGGCTAGGGTGAAACTGCACTTTTTACCTAAATGAAGGAATTGAGCAGGACACAGCTCTGAGTGAGTCTGTGGATATCCTTCTTTGCTGAAGAGTGCTAAGTCTACACAGAGTATTCTTTCTGATTAGACTGAGGTGTAATTATAAGAACAGGAGACATGAGGCATAGCCCTACCTGCTGCAGCACAGACTCGCCTTGCAGCCTCTGAAGATTTTCTAGGTGGGAATGGAACAACGGGCTGTGTAGCAGCTTTACCTCCAGCAGCCCTTCGATGATGTAGCCAATAGTGCAGTCATCGGGAAGACGCACTCTTTCTGCAGTACTAATGAAATTGCCCAGGCTGTGACAGAGAGCATAGGAGACAAGGCAAAATGTGTTTTAAAGCCTCCCAAACATGTATTGATGGAGCTCAGCTAGGAAAAGTGCTTACCTGGCCCAGGGACTCATCTTCAGGGCAAGACCTCGGCTGATACAGAACCCAGCTCCACCTGTAGCAAACCAGAATTTCACCGTTGTCTTCTGAAGAGCAAAAAGAAAAAACACACAACAGTTACCGATAATCAGCTTTTTGTGTTTGGCTGGGCAGGGAAGGGAACTCAAGGTTACAGATGAAGCCCTATTTTTTAGGCTGCTAAAAGCACAGTTAACTGTTCTCTTAAATGAAACTATTTTGAAACAGACAGCAGGTGAACCATCAAATTAGCATAAGAGAGGTAGCACACATGAAGTGGAAAATGATCGTCCCACTTCTACCCAATTCCATCTGTCCCCTTGCTCATTTTAACCAAGGGTCATAGCCAGCTAAGCATTACTGATAACGTAAAAGGTGGTCCATATATATTGGCTCCATGTCCAAGGAGACTATTTTGTTGTGCAGAGTGTTCCCTAACAAGATGCTTTATAACTGACTTTCTGGCCAGTGGATTGATATATCTTTAAAGATACCTGGCAGTGCAGGTGACCTGATTAGGACTTTTTCTTAGCACATGCATCTTGTGATTGATATACATTTGCTTCCAGTTCTTGGAAACCTAGTAACCACTTCATATTGGAAATGCTTTATCTGTCCAGAAAGCTTTTGTCACCCATCTGAGGTTGGTTCAAGATGATAATGTGTGTGATACTGCACTCAAAACAAATAAAAATCCCCTTAAACTTCCACTCAAACTCCCAAGCCCTAAAACAAGGAACACTGCCCACAAAGCCACCAAAGGAAAAGTAAGAGTCGGGGGGGGAGGCTCTACTAAGCTCAGTGTGAGGGAGATCACAGCATATGTGAGTAAAGGAACAGAAACAGATTGCTATCCAGGAGACAACCTCCATTGGGCATGCATATGCATACAACATTTGAGTGAAGGTGCATTTAACCTAGCATCCTACCACTGAAAATGACCATCACTAGGTTCATCTCCTGCAAATTAAATCACTTGGGTTTATTGGGGAATCCTATGAATTGTCAATGTTTTAAAAGCTTAGAAAATCGGGGTATCTCTCAGACAAAGTGAAAAAACTTGCTTACTGATCCATCACTTTGGACATGGTCAGCTGCTTCAATGGGATGGTCCAGACTTGGTCGCCCCACGTAGACATCCTGGCTGTGTGAAAAGGCAGACAGGAGATGTAGGAGAGTCCGAGGGTTCACATAGTTGTCATCGTCCACATGGCAAAACCACCTTCAAACAAAACAAAGCAGGAAGTTATAGGGACAAAGAAATGAGTTATAGGTTTACAACTGAGTCATAGTCTTTCAGGCTCGGAGCAGAAAATATTTCTTATTGTCCCAAATTACAGAATAGGAAAGATGAAAGCGCCCACAGATGCTAGGTCTGTAAAGAGGCTGAAATTAATAAACCCCTTAGATTATAAACCTTTCCACCTTTCAGATGATGCCTGTTTATAAACACTGCTTCATGCTGTGCTCCCTTTCCCGAACTCATCCCTACATTTTAGCTAATACTGCATTCCTTACTGGAACAGAGATGGTTACTGAAGTTCCCTTTAAGCACAGAACTGGAAGAAACAAAGTCAATCGGAGCAATGTGTTTCACTTACTTTTGCCCAGATTCCAGGAATTTATCGTATTCCACAGACATCTTGCAGCAGAGAGCTTGCCGGGTATGGACAGCAGAACAGTTGGTGTTGATCATATGATCCCCTAGAAGAATAAAGATCGGACCTTTCAGGTTTGAGAAGCATGTGTAGTCAAAAAAAGACTACAAAAGAAGCACACATCAGCACTAATACTATACATCCGAGGTGCACATGGTGCATGCATGGAGAAACTGCAGCATAGGCAGGGCTCATAGGTTATCCATCTGGCACGTAAGCTGCAGAGGTCATAAAATTGTGTGAATGCATAAAAACAAGTGAGGGTATATAAATAGTGTCATGAGATGTGCACAAAATAAGTATCTGCTATAACTTTGGACCACATAAATTTAAGCTTACTAACAAGAAAAAAGGGGTTGCAAAGGTGAACCCAGTATACCAGAAGTTCCAGGCATCTTGTCTAGGTGGCAATTAGGGAGAAATTTTCTCTATTTTCTCCATCTTAACTTCCCTAATTGCTTGTACAGCATGAAATAAGGACTTCTATAGAATGCATGAAAGAAATTAACTCAGTTACAACAGACAGTATATAGTATAGTATATAACAGACAGAGCTACACAGCTCACCTGCTTTCAGGCGTAGCTCCCGATCCTCCCAGTCTGTGAATATAAATGTCTGTGGGAGACAAAAACAGTGTGCCCACATTTAAGAACTGCAGCTGCTAATGTTACATATGCTCCGTTTCAGTCAGAATTCAGAACGCTTTGTCTGTCTCGATAGTTTGTTTCACAGTATCCATTGGAATGAGGGAGGAAGTAGGAGTGCGGACACCCCCAGCAACTTCAACCCCTGCCTTATTTGTTACATTTTTTCACTACAAAGCAGAAGAGTGTCATTTCAATAAAGCAGGCTGTATTTTACCCTCCTTGTCTCAGGGTAAGGCAACTGATTTCGAGATAGAAAGGATTTTGGTCTTTTTTGGTACTACCTTCTTTCTCTGACTAAGAATCATCCACAGCTGTCAAGCAGGTTAGGAAGAAAGAATGCCACTCAAGGTGGGAAGTGGCAGGTGGTTAACATTGTCTTGTTCCAACTGCTAGACAAAATTCCATTAATATATTTGAACAGACTGAAATTCTGAAACAAGGGAACAAATTTTATGTTCTACAGAAAAACTTATGTGGCTGAACAACTTAGTCCAAAATATCGGCTTAGATGCATCAGCACCAGGAATCTTTCACTATCATGGAAGCACTTTCCACAGTCACAGAAAAAACCAGCGAACTATGTCTGCTTGGACTACCGATCCCACATTGCAGGTAACTGACTTAATCAGCAACAAACTCTTTCGGACGCATGTTCACACCAATCATTTATACAAGACGACCTTCCACAGTCTTACAAAGAAAGCCGCCTTTAACACAAGTAAGAGAAAACTCGTGAGAGTGCAGCAGCTGCCCCGGAAAGCCCAGGGCCCAGGCTCCCGGCTGTCCCTGCCCGCTGGCGAAGTCTCACCTGTCCCCTCGCCTGGGAGATCCAGGTTTGGAGGAGCAAGTCCAGCCGGCTCTTATGGTACTTCCTCGTGGTCTTCACCGCAATAAAGATGTCCTTCAGCTCCAGGCTCTCCCTGGCCGAGTTGCCGGCAGCCCCGAGGCGGCCCCTCCGCGCCAGCTGCGGGCTACCCGCGAGGCCTGCGCCCCCCGGCGCTCCGGCAGAGCCCTCGGGGCCCGCGCGCTGCGGCGAGAGCACGCTGGGCCCGACGGCGGGCGGCGGGCGGGGCACGGCGGGGCGCTGCCCCCGCGGCAGCAGCAACAGCAGGAGGGCGGCGGCGCCCAGGGACAGCAGGACCCCGGCCCTGCGCAGCCCCAGGCAAGGGCCGCTCATACTGCAGCCCCGCGGGCCCCCGCCGCAGAGCGCGGCCGCCTCATGGCCCCGCGCTAAGGGAGGAGGCGACGGCCCCGCGGAGGGAGCGCCCGGACGTTGTCGCACCGCCGCCGCCGCCGCGGGGCCGGGAGGGGCCGCGGCCCCTTTAAGAGCTTCACCTGTCGGCCGCGGCCTGCCCGCGACGCGCGGCCCGGAAGCGGAAACGGAAGCGGAGCTGGAGGGGCGGGCGGCCGGAAGCGGCGGTGTGAGGGGAGGATGCCGCTGCCCGTCCAGGTCTTTAACCTGCAGGTATGGGGCAGATGCGGCCTGTCGGTCCGGCCCGTCGGGCCTTGCCGCGCTCCGCCGCGCTCCGCGTCCCTCCCACGCGGGGTCTGGGACCTCAGGTTTACCGCGGCCTCCGGGGGCGCCGTGCGGCCTTCTCCCCGGACTGTACGGGAAGGGAACGGCTTTCGGCTGGCCCTGGGCCCTCGCTCGTCCTTCCGTCGGGTCTGTGTCGCTTCCGCCGCCGTTCGGGAGGAGCAGTGCTCAGCTGAGCGTCCTCCGGCACCCGTGGCGTCCCGGCCGCTGCAGCGGCCCCCGTTTGATTCCCGCGCTGTATGTGCTGTAGGCAGGGCTGGAGTAGTGGCGGAGGGTACGGTGAGATGGCCCAATGAGGAGGAACTGAGGGTCTGCAGTGCAGGGGAGAGCCCCAGGAGCGCCGAGTGGGTCGGTGACACTAAGTACTTCCGAAGGCTACCCTTTGCGAATTTCAGCAATTCTCTGTCAGGGCACGAGGCTTTGGGGAGTGAGGAGAGGAAGAGGGAGAGGAAGATGGACAGTTCGGTATCCAACTCAGCTCCTTCAGTAGTGACAGGTCTGTACTGCACGCCCTCCAGCAACAGGTCACACCTGTTCCTGCCGAGTACAGCAGGAGACTTCAGCTCAGACACCACTTTATCTGCTTGTGTGAGGCCTGGTGTGATACCCTCAACAGAGTCCCCACTGGGGCTCAGGAAATCTCGGGACGTGGTTGTTATATTATTTGCTCTGTGAGTAGTTTTTAAGTCAATCTTGCATCTTCCTTTCAAAATAAAGAGCTTGAAAATGAGTTTGCTTGTCCTACTGGGACTTCTGGCCCACTTGCGTTTCATCTTGTCTGGGAGAGTTAAGTGAGAAATGCAGAGTGCAGCCTCACAGCGTAGCAAAACACAAGAAAATTGTTCTGTTCCACCAGCTGGAATTACATTTACCTTGGTAATGCTGTTTTCTAAGGAGTCTGTAATTGAGTTTTTACTGCGGTAGGCAAGCACAGCCTAAACAAGCTAACCTTGGCAGTTAGTGTTTATGATATAAGAAAAGATAGAAGGTAGATAAAAGTGGAAAACGTAACGCTCTTAGCATATGGTGAGTTACATGTTTTTATGCACAGTTTGCCTGAGGGGTGATCTAGACAATCAACATTTCCTCTGTGCCCTTCCTCCCTGCCTCCCTCCTTCCCTTTACTTCAGGAAAAGGTTATTAAACTAGGGAACAAATTCTCTTGCTTTTACTTCAGATTTAGGGAGATTTCAGTGTTGAGATATGTATTTGATATGTACCAGTTTGTGAAAAAATAAGACCCCCAGACTGTGGATGAGTATAATTTTTAGAGATAGGAAATGTGGATCTGCCCTGTTCCTTCTCACAAAAAAACAAACCAACACACAATCAACCCAGTCAAAAAAAACCCCACCCTCAATCTTTAATTTCTTAACAGACAGTAAAATCAGTAAAAATATGGAAATAATCAGATGTGTATGGGGGCAAGATGGTTGGCATGTCTTTTTTGAGATCCACTTTTGCAATTTACACCAAATCAAGCTTATATAATATGTGCACAAAATCAGCATTCTATAAGAAGACATTCAGCTAAGTTTTCCTCACTTTAAATGGACAATTCCTAGGAGGACTATTCAGCACCCTTTGACTAGGAGGAGAGAAAGAATTTTGTTCCAGCAGACCAGTTAGTTTGTGGAATGGGATAGCAAGCTGGTCTTACTGGGAATACATGCAAGGGCTGGAACAATGCAGCTGTGATGAAGTCAGTGCATGGGTGTGAGTCCTTATGGCTCAAAGCAGTGCAGGATGTACTAGGAGAATAAAATGTTGTTGTTTCTCTGAAAGAGGCTCTGTCTGAGCAATTGGACTTGAAAACTATGGTAAGATAGTTCAACTAATGGCAGGTCTCTGCGGTGCAGACAAATTATTCCTTGCTATATTGGAAACCCTGAAATTGTCATTCTGAGTTCTATTCCTTATGGTTTTTAATACTTCAAAGAAGTGTAACAGTTTTTGCCTCTTTTCTCCCCAAAAATATTCTAAGCATTAAAGCAATTTTGAAAGGTTGTGGTGAGTTTTTTGGTATATTTTGCCTTTTGGAAGTTCTTGAGCTGAGTGTTAACACCTGCTCTTGCTCAAGGAAGAGAAATGGAATGCATATGCATACCTCAGGTACTTTGTAGAATCAGATTTATTCGCCTCTTCACTTTTTTTGCTTGATAATTTACCAACCCAAATACCAGCAAATAAACTGCTCTATGTGAATGCTAAGCCATGCTGCTGCTTGTGTTAGACTAAGCATCATGCTGGCTGGTGGTGTTGCTACTGAAAAATCCCGAGTATATCAAAAGACTGAGGAGTGCTTTTTAATTTTTAAAATTTAACACGTATTTAAGCAAGTCCTTAATAGATTGAATATCATAGTTATTTCCTGCTCAAATATAGGATGTGCACTACTTTTGATCTCATTTTGCTATTTCAGGGTGCAGTAGAGCCCATGCAGATTGACGTAGATCCACAAGAAGATCAGCAAAATTCACCTGATATCAACTATGTGGTGGAGAACCCCACGCTGGTATGTGCTTCTGAGGGCTGTGGGTATAGTTCTTACGTGTGGTCTCTTCCTTTAAGAATTTTGAAAAAATCCCCTCTGAAAAATCATAAAGTGAAATTCAAAAAAAAGTAAATTGTAATGTAGAGCGTATTTCTGAGAAAATAACTTAAGTTTGAAGAAAGCAGACATGGACTAATCTTACTGATTTTTGAGTTGTGTTGTCCTCCTCGAGGGGGTCAGGTCTGCAGGAAAACCTGTGCAGAGCACAGTGAAGTAGCCTGATTTAGTGTGTCCATTTTCACCTTCTGAGGCCAGGTTTTGTTGGCAGGATTTGGAGCAGTATGCGTCCAGCTACAGTGGGCTGATGCGAATTGAGCGGCTGCAGTTCATTGCTGATCACTGCCCACAGCTGCGGGTGGAAGCTCTCAAGATGGCTCTGTCATTTGTCCAGAGAACTTTCAATGTTGATGTGTATGAAGAAATCCACAGAAAGCTGTCTGAGGCTACGAGGTACTAAGAGGCCATGGGAACCTGGGGAGCTTTCCTGGCATAGTTAAGAGTGATGTACCACAGTGGAGAACTTTGCATGTAATACCAGCATGTACCTTACACAAATTGTCTTTGCCTTAGAATTTAATAGCAGGGAAGGCCTTATCTCATTCTGAAATCTTTGTGCTTTAAAAAGCTGCAGGTAGATATTGAGGTGAGTTTAGTCCTTGCAACTGCCTGAAATATTAATGAACATATTTGTTTTTCTTGAGGTAGATTATGGAGATGTATTCTAGATGTTTTTGTTTTCATAAGTTAAAACCTAATCTAACTCTTTGCCTTGTTTTGGTTTGATTTTTCCTTCCTCCCCCCCTCTAAAAACAGATATGCTTTTAAGGATAACCTTTGATATCTTACTTATCCATCCACGCTTCCCATCTTTGTGTTATTTTTGTTGCTATGCTTATTTCATGTTTTCTTGTCTGTTTTGCATGGGGAGTCTTTATCATGCGTGTGAGAGTATGTTCGTCCTAAGATCATTAGGATAATTCTGTGAAGTATTTGTAAATATCTGTGATGCTTGTGCTAGTATTTGCACTGGAGATTTTAGCAATATTTTTATTTTTTTCCCCACTGCCTTTATTTTCTCATTGATCTATTTTATGTATGTGGTACTGTTTGTTAGGGTAACAGTGCCAGGCACTTAGCAGACCTCTGTTTTGAAACTTATTGAGCCTAATAGCCTCATTCAATACTTTCCTTTCAGAGAACTGCAAAATACACCTGATGCTGTCCCTGATAGTGGAATTGAACCCCCTCCTCTTGACACAGCTTGGGTTGAAGCTACACGCAAAAAAGCTCTTCTTAAACTGGAGAAACTTGACACAGATCTGAAAAATTACAAAGGGAACTCCATCAAGGAGAGTATCAGGTGAGATGCAGAAGGCTCTGCTGGAGCCAGGAAGAGCATTTTGCTCCTCCATGCACTTAACATGGGATGTGCCCTTAGGCTAGTGTGCTGAGTTACTTGTTTAGAACAAACTGACTTTGTCCCTTTCTGAGCATACAGTTCATTGATGTTTTCATTCCTATTCTCCAGGAGAGGCCATGATGATTTAGGTGATCATTACCTGGACTGTGGAGACCTCAGCAATGCTTTAAAGTGTTACTCGAGAGCCCGTGATTACTGCACCAGTGCTAAACACGTCATCAACATGTGTCTCAATGTTATCAAGGTAGGAAGATTTGCAGGCAGAGGTACCTGGTGTCTTTGTGATGTCTGCTGTGAAGTTGCCCCCCATACTTGGCTCTTGTGTCTGCAATGATGCTGCTTATCTAAGGAGCGCCGTTTATCCATGCCTGCCCCACACTTTTTCTGGCTTTCTGCAGGTCAGTGTCTACCTCCAGAACTGGTCTCATGTTCTGAGCTATGTAAGCAAGGCTGAGTCTACACCAGAAATTGCAGAAGTAAGCTCCTGCTCTTTAACTTGCATATATTTTCCCTTAGTTTTCTGTTTCAAAAATTTGTAAAGTGATTTCTTCCTTTCCTCCTTTATGACTTCTCTCATGATGTATGGGTACAAAATCTGGCTCATGGTAAAACTGTATACTTCCCGTCCTCAGTTTTGCTGTATTTCCCAAGACAAATAAGATTGAGTTG